GTCTGCTTCTCCCTCTGATCCTCCTGCCTCTCATGCTCTCTATCTCTCATTCTTTCTCTCTCAAATAAACAAATAAAATCTTAAAAAAAAAAAAAAGAAACTACACTCAGCCCAGTAACAGAGAGGAGGCCAAAAGTTCAAAACAGCTGTGCCTCACGTGTCGGCTCTGTGTCCGCACAAGACTGGCAAGGGACAGGGCAAGCCAACCTGGCCACACCAGTCTGCTCTGGGGGCCTGTGGGCCACGGGGGAGCCGAAGGCCCACCGCACCGGGCCTAGGACAGGCCGCACCCCGAGTGGCCATACCTGACTGGGTACAGGACTTCATGTGCTCGGGCCAGTGGGCCTGCTGGCAGGGGTAGTCACAATAGCTGGTGTTCCAACAGCAGTAGAAAATGGCCTCCTTCTTGCAGTTGGCACACCACTGCTTCTTCTTAGTCTCGTCCACCGCCTGCTGCTTCTCCAGCTCCAGCTGCTTCTTCACCTCGGCAATGAGCCGGTCCCGCTCCTGCTCCAGGCTCTGCCGCATCTCCGCCATGGTCAGCTCTGACAGGGGAGGGAAGAGGACACCAGCTTCGTCACCAGTCCCCCGGCCCAGGGCAGGGAGCCTTTCATACCAGATCAGAAAGGCAGTCCAGGATATGGGTTCCAAGAGACACGGGGGCAGATCCTGGCTCAGAGGTGCCTCGGCTCTGTGACCCCCAGGCGAGGAACCTAGCCTGGCTACATCCCAGTATCTGCAGATAACCAGAGCCCCGCCATGATACTGCGGGAAGTCCTCAGAGAAACCTTCGAAGCAATTTCCACTGAGCTCACTTTGAATTTTATCATCAGTGTGTTTGCAACCAAACACTTACAAGCACCCAGCATATACGTGCAGGTGCTGTTCTGACCACCATGTATCATCAACTCGCTTCATCTTCACACTAACTCTGTGAGACAAGCTCTACTGTAATATCCCGTTCACGGATAAGGAAACTGTGGCACACGGCTAATAAGGACAGAGCTGGCCCTGGAACTCGGACACGCTTTCTATTTAGTGTGTTTGGTGGCAGTGGGTGAAATCTACCACACAGGACCCTGTGATGGATCATTATGGTTGATCAACTATCAAACCGCTCAGTCTGCTGATACTTCCTCCTTTCACTTGAGACAGGAACTCCATGCACAGTTCACCCAGGGGTGACCTGCACACCAACAGAAAAATAAAGGATCCTTCGATCGTCAAAATTCTCTTCCTGAAATCAAAACACACACACACAC